GAGTTGAGTAGTTTACTTTGGGACTTTAGGTCTGTTACAGATTTTATCTAGTGTCCCAAAACTAACAAGCATCTTTATCCATTAACTCACATTTAATCACAATGGGGCTGGAGAAAAGGAACAAAGGTTATGCAGTCCCACAAAAGTATGTCTGAGACAACTTGAGATCTCCATACATTCTGGATTAAGGTGAAGGCAGAGTATCCTGAGATTACCACAAAAGCACTGAAAGAGGGCTGCTTTCATTTCTAACATTCTGTCTTTGTGGTGCAGGGTTTTCCACAGTGACGGCAGCCAAAACGAGATTATGGATCAGTCTAAACATAAGCAGCACACTTCGGGTGTCACTGTCCTTCATCACCCTCAGATGGGATCATTGAGTAGCAGGAAATCAAGCTCGAGACTCCCACTGATTCTGCATTGTGTGAGGTGTGCAGTTATTTCATAATCTATTACAACATAATAAAAATACAAATAAAGCCTACAATAAATATAATGTACTTGAATCATTCTCCATTAATGGAAAAGTTGTCTTCCATGAAACCAGTCCCTGGTGCCAAAAAATTTGAAGATTTCTGGCCTAAAATATAATCTACCCTGGAGAATGTTCCATGTGCACTTGAGAAAAATGCTGGGGAGAATGTTGCATGTGTGTATGTCTGACTATTATGTCCATTTAATCTATAGCATTCACGTCTACTGTCTGTTGATTTTCTGTCTGGATAGTCTATCCATTGTTGAAAGTGGTTATAATGAAGGTTACTATTACTGTATTCCTATTTCTCATTCAGTTCTGCTCCTATTTGCAGTATATATTCAGCAGTTCTGATGTTAGATGCATAGATATTTACAGCTGCTATATCCTGTCAAGGAACTGATCCCTGTGTCAGTACCTAAGAACTTTCTTTTCCTCTTGCGACAGTGTTTGGCAAAAGGCTATTTAATCTGACATAAGTATAGCCACCTCTGCTTTCTTCAGGTTACATTTGCATGAAATATCTTTTTCATCTCTTCACTTTATACTACTTGTGTCTTTAATGCTAAAGTGAGTCCCTTTGGGGCAGAGTATAGTTGAGTGTTTTTAAAAAATATATTGTACGTTGTATTTTAAAATGCACTTAAAATACATTATAAAATACCAGAATTCATTCTGTTTCTTTTGATCAAAGGTTTTAATAAAGTTATATTTAAAATAATTATTGACATGTAAGAATTTACTACTGTAATTTTGTTAACTATGTTTTTACTATTTTGTAGTGTCTTTGTTCCCCAGTTTCTGTATTGTTCTTCATTCTTTTGTGATTTGAATACTTTTTGTAGTTCTACAATTTGATTTCTTTATCATTGTTTGAAGTATCTGCTACAAGGTTTTTTCTTTGTGCTTACAATGAAGCTTACGTAAAGCATCTTAAAACAGGCAATTTTAAGCTGATAAGTTTAATTACATACAGAAACTACACATTAACTTCTTTTGCTCAACATTTTATGTTCTTGTTGTCACAAATACTTGTGTATCCATTAACAAATTATTACAGTTATTTTTAGTACTTTTGTGTTTTAACTTTGTACTGGCGTTAAAAGCGATATTTACACAATTGTGGTAGTATTAGAAAATAAATTAGAATTTATTTATATTTTAACCTTTCCAGTGGGTTTTATATTTTCATGTATCTTCTTGTTAGTTTTTATTGTTTCATTTCCACAGGAAGAACTCTCATAACATTTCTTATAAGGCAGTTCTAGTGGTATGACCCCCTTCCACTTTTGTGTGCCCCAGCCAATCTTTATCGCCTTCATTTCTTTTTTTTTTTTTTTTCCAGTACCAGGGATCAAACTCAGGACTTTGCACTTTTGAGGCAGGTTCGGTGCCACTGAGCTAAATTCCTGGCCCTCGCCAGCATTTCTGATAGACAACTTGCCAAGTATAATAATCTTGGCTGGCAGTTTGTTCCCCCAGCACGTGAATATGTCATCCCATGAGCTGCCAGTGTCATGGTACATTTTCTTCGCTCTTTCTGAAACTTTCTATCTCCAGAAATCTACACTCCCTCACTTTTTCCAGAACTCAGATATCACCTCATCAGAGCTGTCCTGAACTGCCCAGTCTAAAATAGCTCCCTGGACCCATCAGCCTCTGTCCCCTGGAATCAGTCCCATGATAACGTTGCTGGATTTGCAGCATAAAGTAACTTCACAGGAGCAGGAGCACATGAGTGAATCTCCCCCCACCCCCGTTCCCCTGAGGGAGAGAGCGTCTCCCTGAAGGCAGAACCAGTGCCACCCGCTTCTCTTGTTACAGCTGTCACCACCCAGAGCTCCATAAACAGCCAGAACAGTGAGCAAAGTAGAAAAGAAGAATGTCTTTTAGCCCCATCGCACCTCCCCCCACCCAGGGCACATCCTCTGGTTCTGAGTGGCACCAGCAGAGCCATTCTACCTATTCAGGCCTAGGGATAGGTAAAGATGAGATGGCGTCAGACCAGCTCTACCTAGTCTGCTTTTCCTCCTTGTCCTCCTCCCACCACCCTCCATTTTGAAGGGGGATTGTTGGTGATGGGCAGGGAAGAAGGGATGTGTTCCTTAGCTATTGCTGCATTAAAAATTAATAAAGCCGGGGATTTAGCTCAGTGATTCTGGTGCCTGCCGCACAAGTGCAAGGTCCTGAGTTCGTTCCCCACTACCAAAAAAACCAAAACAAAACAAAATAAAAAATTAATGAAAACTCAACAGCAACCCCTGTATTACTTAATACCCCCAGGGGTCAAGAGTGACTAGGGCTGGGGATTTAGCCCAGTGGTTTCGCCGCCTGCTGTGCAAGTGCAAGGACCCGAGTTCGATCCCCGGTACCAAAAAAAAAGAGTCAGACCATAGTCTCATCTGAGACTCAGGGTCTTCTTGCAAATTCCTATGGACGCTGGTAAAATGTGTCTCCCTTGGTCTGGAGATGACTTGCTCCTTCAAGACTGACAGGAGAGAGACTCTCAGCTTCCTGGAGTCTTTGAGCTCGGGAAAGGAATAGCCCTCTCGTAAAGGACCACTCAACTGGGGCACGCCCACCTGGGATCCTCTCCTTTCCATTAACTCCCCATTGGACTGATCAGGAATCTTAATTTAACATTGTGTCAGTCCATATTTCATCACTATAGCTACCTGGGACAGGCACAAAAAGAGAAAAGGTTTATTTAGTTCACAATTTTAGAAGATAAATGTCCAGGCAGTACAGAGCAGACTTTGGCCAGAGCCCCATGGAGTATGTGTAGGAGGAAAGATGCTTCTTGGAACAAGAAGCTGGAGAGACTGGTGGAGCCAGGCCCTGGGTTTGGTAGCACCCTTCTCTAGAGTGAGATGTACTCTAATCCCCCCAAACCACAGCATGTTTGGACCTCGCTGAGGACCTCTCGCTGGGCAGCACCCTGAGGACCAGGCTGCAGTACAACTTCTGGGAGGACAGGCAGTGGGGAGGAGGGTGTCCCAGAGGCATGGGTCCCTGGAAGTAGGAGTCACGGGTCATTTTAGAGACATCCAGTCACTTAGCCACAGGGGCTCATTACAGAAACAATGAAGTTGGTAGCACTTGATTCAGGTTGGAGAAAGGGAGGCTCAAAAAGATAAGTAATTACTCAGGGCTACCTCATGGCAGGAGTCAGGGCTCATTCTCTTAATCTCTACAAAGTCACTTATGTGAAAAACCAATGAAGACTCTTGGGCGGTTTAATGGCAAACTAGAGACCCAGTCTCCTTTTCATATTTATCTAATCGCCATGTTTAGGTAGCTCCATGTCATAGTCCTTTTCCTACTAACTCTACCTGATTTTTGTGAGGATTGGTGAAAAAAGCACAAAGCATTACAAAAAAAGCATGAAACATCACAAAGCCTAGGCACTTAGAGATGCTGATTAAACTGAAATACAGAGGAGCAGTTGTAAGTTAGAAGAGATTGACCAGCTTAGCCTCTTGCCTCTTATGTCAGGTTTATCTGGAAGGCTGTGGGCATTGTGTGACTGAGAAAGGAAGAGGCTGGCTGGAAGGGAAAGGAGCACCCCAAGACATCATCTTTCTTCTTCCTCTACATTGAGGGGCCAAGAAACACACTGGAGAAATTCTGAGGAGCACAGTTTTAGGATCAGATTTCTGGTTTAGGTAACTTGTTCTGATAGTGGATTGGAAATGAGTTGGGGAATGGTAAGAAAAGAATACCAAATAGAGAATGCTAAAAAATTCTGGGTGAGAGAATTGAGGTCTAAGAAAGGGGATGGAGAGGAAGGGAAGAGGCTCTGTAGATATTTACATTACAGAATATATAGGATTTTGTAGTCTTTTATTTGTGAGAGATAAAAATAAATAAGCATTGAAAAGAAGTCTAAAATAGTCACAAAGAAGTGGGAATAAAGCCAGCAAGATTCCTAATGTAAGATGACAAGATCCAGCATTTCACCATCTCCCATTCACAGGGGACATAGCTGCCTGCCAGGACAGGACAAAGAGAGGGCTTAGCAGGAGCTGTCGGAGCAGGTTGGGTGAATGGCAGCATATCTAATGCAGATCCCAGGCAGCCATTGCTCCCATTGGCAATGAACCCTGGGAGTAGCTGTAGCGTCACCTGGGAACTTGTTAGAACTTGTTCAGCCCCAGACCCACTGATTTACAAAGTAAGGATGGAGCCCAGGAATCTGTATTTTAACAAGGCTTCCTCACAGTTTCCATTGACAAGAAAATTTGAGCATTTCTCTGGACAAATCATTTTGTTTCTGAAAAGAGACTCCTTGGAGAAGCATAAAAAGGAAGATATAACCAGAGGCCTCTGAAATGGGTCAGTACAAGTTGACACACAGTTGACTGGACATGTAAGAACTCAAGGAGGGAAAGGCTCACCTTTCTTCATCATCTGAAGGTGCCCAGTGGGTACATCCAAAAACTGACAAGAGAGGAGGTGCCTCTGACTCGTGTTGGCCTTTGAGTCTTGCTCAAAATAAAGTATTTCCTAAAGGAAATAAACAATGAAGGAAGGCAGGGGAAGGGCAAAGACAGTTCCACTTAGTCTTGCCCTTGAGAATGCCAGCCTCCAGCTCTTCATCTTACAGTTCTACTTACCAGCCTCACAGGGGTCTCCAAGGCCTGCACCAGGAATCCTCTGGTGTTTTAGAATCTGTAGGACAAGAGTATGGAGGGAAAGGAGCACTGATAAGGATGCCCCAAGCCTTCCTCTCATACCCAGTAACCCAAGTAGAGATCTTCAGGTCTCTGCGCAGGGAGGGCCAGGCCCTGGGATGAGGCTTAATCCACACCACCTGTGTGGTGCCTCAGGGTCAGTTCCAGAATGCAGCTCTGTCCTGAGCTTTAGCTACCTCACCGTGAAATTGAAAGGTCAGCCAAATGGTATACACAATATATTAACCTTTATCTGTTCTTTCATACCGCAGAATTCCTGGTCCTACAGGTGAGATCAATTTAGTTTTGGTGGCAAGAGAGAGTGCTACTCACTGTTTGAGGGAAAAGACTTTAGGATTTTCAGGATTGTTTTGACCCAAAACCAGCCAAACTCAGGCTCTTGGAGGGTAATAGAAATGCATTTATTTTTGTATACCTGGAACTAGTATATTTTGGGGCTTAAGTTTGCACTGACAGAGAGTTTTGTTGTAAGCACATGATGGTGGTTTCTCTAACCTTAGAAATAGTTTTGGGGGAAGGTTTTTTTGATCTTTCAAGTGTTTTCAGAGCACAGAGAAAGAGCCATCTTCCTGAAGGAGCACCCCCAACCCTATATTCCTTAACTCCTTTCCTTCACTTTCAAATTAGGATATTTACAGGTGTCGGATTTTCCCCGAGTTTTCCTTTAGTGTACAATGTCATCTAGAGATTTCACAACGTGATTTCCCTTCTCTGTAAAATTAGTTCCTTGACTTTTACTGTTTTCCCCTCATTCTTCCTGTTTTCATTTGAGCAAAATATTTTGAACCAGACTCAAAGGCAAACAGAATGTGAGTCAGAGGCATCTCATTTCTCGAGACTATTTGGAAGGTTTCATTTGGCATCTGGAGATGGAGCAGAAAGGTGCGCCTTTTGCTCGCAGTGTTCTCAAGCAACCGGCCAACTGTACTTCGGCTTGAATCCTGGCTGCATTGAGAAGGTTATGCATCCGTTTTTGTCTGGCTTCCCAGAGGTTTTGTGAATGGGTGTATTCTCAAAATCAAATATAATAACAAAAGATTTACATAAAAGTGTCTGACAAAAATACTGTTTTCTTGGTTTCAAATAAGCATGGAACTATTTTATCACAACTTGAACCAAAGTGTTGATTTTTGAACCGAAATGCACTTCCTTGTTTATTCCCTCACACAAGTGCTTGCGTAATTTCGGCTTCCACAGAACCCTTCCTTACAAGTTTTATAATGTCTGAAAGCAATTTTCAGACTTATTTTGAAAGTCAAATGATTCCTCCTAACAGTTCTATGAAGCATATTTGGA